GCAGCAGATAATCATGCCATGTGTGTCAATACTAATTTACTGGCCAGAGACAGTGCAGGTATACGTCTATCACCTACACACCGTGCAAGTACCACTTGCATTCACCCCGGCACACCGTCTTGTATGGCGCTACATACTCAGGCTTCCCGTCAAGATGAAACAATACATGCATATTAAAAGCCATTACATGTAAAGTTCAATCAACATATCAAATATCCAAAAGCATGTACACGACATGCATAAACCATACCCCCATGGGACATGGTGGAACCACAACATGACTAAACCGAGGACACGAAAGCTTACTTCCAAGCTAGCTATCCAATGCCACAAGCTCAGAGTCCAATCACAGCAGATCACAATCTGATATGGACCAAATATAAATCAATAAACATGTACCACATGCATACAAATTAAAGACAACGCCTTTTCATTACATTTTCAAGTTTTAAAGCTTCTAACAAAGCCACAAGCCCTTAATCCCATGATTCTGGCTTAGTCCATTAAAAACAGAAGTTTAACTTCAACAATCTGGGGTCTACAAACCCCCAATAGCCTACTGTATGCACAGCACAGCTACTGTGCTGCGAAATCCCATAATATCCAGATACTCCTTGGGACCATATCCGGATATGCAATATCCGGATATCTCACTGTACATATCCGGATATGCAATATCCGGATATCCAGAATCCCATATCCGAATATACAATATTCAGATATCCCAAAACCCCATATCCGAATACACATATCCGGATATCATATCCGGATATCCCATATCCGCATATTCCACGGGCAGATATCCGGATATTTCACGACAGAATGCAGTTTCTGCATTTTCGTGAAGATATCCCTTAAAGGTTCCCTTTTACCGATTTTAAACCCCTAAACATGCATTTCTAGGCGTGTTCAATATTACCCAACAACAAGTTATCATCTTTTAACCTTAACATGCATCAAGCTTTCATTTTTAAGCCTTAACACTCAAGTTAAAGGTTGGTACAACATACCAAATGCCAAAACAGAGGTTCAACTGCTCAAGAAGCTCCCAAAACAGCTTCAACAGCTACTGGAAATATGGTGTACGAAAATGCTACACCAAGACTTGACCTTTCTACCCAAAGGTTGCTTCTTTAAGCAACAAAATACCCAACTCAAGCTTCCACCAACAAGCCAACCAAGTCAGCCCCAAAACTCTCACCAACAGCAGCTGGAGTACCACTGAAGAACACCCTCACCCACCCACAATGATGTCTCTCACTCACACCAAGTGTTTACGATGATGAAACAACCAAGAAAATGGGTTCAAGGTTGAGTTTTGGTCAAGAACAAGAGAAGAAAGCAATGGAACAGTGCTCCCTCCCAAGCTGATCATCTCACTCACGCAGGAATGAAAGAGTCTAGGGTTTTGTGCCCAAAATGGGAGTATTTATAGCCAAAACTCACTTAAGCACGCCGTATTAAATTTAATTGCTATGCTTAGCATTTTAATCCCAAACTTTGGATTATGAAACTACATAATTTTCTAAGATTTATCATATTTTTCTTATATATTTCTGAGCAACTTTTCGGTACGCGTTTTTCCAAGTCAATACCGGTTTCTAGCACCAGTTCTCATTATTTGGACTTGAAACTCGTTTTACAAGTCCTACATATTATCCTAGTAATTATCATGCACTTACATTAATTTTCCGGGATACTTTTTCGGCACACATTTTTACCGACTAGCAGAACCGGTATCTGCACTTTTCTTCCGAAAAGCGACTTTCAGCATTATTACTCACTAACTATAATTATTAAAGCCTCATAATAATTATTAGAGTCAATTATGGAATCGTTTCCTAATTTCGCATAATTAATTAATTAAATACCTTAATTAACGGTGCGGGTTCTTACATCCATCCTCGCGCTTTATCCTGACGTTGCAGGACAAACACATCTCCACGCATGTATGGAACACATCAAATGACGCAAATGTGCGTGATCGTGTCCTCAATGTCAGACACGCTGCGTCACACGATCATTTGGATATACCCGAGGATATCCACCCTTACCTTAGGCAGGCAGGATTTTATCACGTTGCGCGTCTGCGCAACCATGAGGTTAGTGATACGTTGACTTTATAATAGGTGAAATTACATGTTTTATGTTTAATAAATTGTTATTTAATATAATTTTTTTTTTCAGATTGATCACTCACTTATCTCGGCCCTTGTTGAGAGATGGCGGCCTAAGACGCGCACATTCCATATGTCGATGGGTGAGGTTAAGATTACCCTGGAGGATGTCCACCATCTGCTGGGATTTCCCACAGATGGAGAGGTTGTATGTGGCCGCGTTGGAGGCCATCCCTTCTCATAGCTGGTTAGAGATTTCTTGGGGGTAGAGCCAGAGCGAGCGCGCGACTTGTATAAGAACCAAATTTCTCTGACATTTCTGAGGGAACAGTTTCTGCATTACCATCAACATGCTGGCACTGAACTTGGTCGTATGAGATACACACGTGCTTTGATCTTGCGCATTCTGGGTGGTTGCTTGTTCGTTGAGACTGCATCGAGCTTTGTACATGCGCGGTATCTACTATTTCTGGATGATTTTTAGCGGACGGGGACGTATTCTTGGGGTTCCGCTGTACTGGCTACCTTGTACAGGGAGTTGTGCAAGGTTACTGAGCCAGGACGATCTGATATGAGGGGATGTGCTCTGTTACTACAGTTGTGGGCATGGACGCGTTTCCCTACTATCTCACCCGCACTCCCTGCGATCACTGACGCGGAGGCTATTTTCGGGGCCAGGTGTGTGCCTTTTGAAAGTTTTTTTGTTTTCTTCCATTCAATATACACAGTTGTCATGGCTAACTCCTTTTTTTGTGTCTATCACGTATATTAATGTAATTTTATTTTTCTTATTGTTTTGCAGATTTAATATCTATATGCAGCAACGGTTTCGGTTCTCCCACATCAGACGCTATCGTCATCACATGGACGCTATGCCCATCCACAGTATACGGTGGAGGCCATACGATGGATTCGTTGTGCATCAACCATCGTCGGAGGAGGCGTGCAGATGGTTAATTGTATACCCACTCATACACTATCAGGTCGTTATGTAACAGCAGCCCGATAGAGTGCTGCGGCAATTTCGTTTTAGGCAGCCGATACCGAGCGATCCATTGCAATGTTCAGAGCTGCTTACTATCACCCTAACTGATAAGGGTGACGTAGACTGGAAGGACCGACATGGACTGTATATAGCGCAGTGGCATTCCAGGCACACCCTCGTTGCTTAGGGTTTACAGCCAGACGAGGGAGATGGACATCTTTCTATCAACAGCACGTACATCCAGTGGTATTTTCAGCATACGCGTAGATGGATGATGCAAAGATCAGCCATTCATTCTCATGTGGTATGTTAATTCAGACGTTTCATTATAGTTTTGTGAACTATTTAATATAAATAATGACATCACAAATTTAACATTTTTCCGCAATACAGAGTGATCGCATTGAGACTGTTGTTCATATGGCATCGGACGAGGCGCAGGGAGCATTCACTTACCGCTAGATATACGACGAGGCCCTTCAGGCTATGTCTGCATTCGCTGAGTTTTGTAGACTGACAGAACCTGGAGAACTCGCCCCTCCGCCGACAGTTGTCCAGACAGTGGAGCCTCCTCGTCCCGAGCGTCGAAGTCGGCGTGCACGCCACGAGGGATTGCCACTACATCATCAGACTCCCGCAACGGCTGATCGGCCTGTGCTTGTGCAGTCTCTTCCACCTCGTCCTGCCGGGCAGTTTTATGCACCAGCTTACCCTTCAGGTGGCCCGTCGCAGCCATACTGGTGGCCTCCGCAGCCTGTCCCTCCCACGGGTGGTTCTGGACAACCTAGTGGACCATCGTCATAGTACGGGTACCCTTGGTTTTCAGCACCGTTGCAGCCGTACCCTGCATTTCAGCATCATTTCAGTCAGCCGTTCCCAGGTCAGACCAGTGGACCATCCTATACGTATGCTGAGCCTCATGCGCATGAGCATAGTCAATTTCCAGGGCAGTCTAGTTCGCAGCCCACGCATGGTCTGGATGAGTTTACAGATGATTACATACCGACATTCGATTCACCTGGCCTCATGGCGACACCGCAGGCATATTCGACTGACTACCTACAGTCACCTGTATCTGGTCCTACAGGTGTGGTTTCACAGGAGGATGTTGATGGGGACGCAGGAGACGATGCAGCCGGAGGAGGCGGTGGAAACAGCATCAGGCGTAACCCAGATAGACAGGCCAGAGAGCGGTGTTTCTTGTCACCATATGAGCATGACCAGGCACGTTGTGCCGGGTATCATGGCAGGAGGCGACAACAGTGATTCGTTGTTTTATCATATGATTTTTTGTTACATTTCTTGCTCTTGTCAATATGCCTATTGTACCTATTGTCTTAGTTTGGATACTTGTTCTATCTTTATCACCGGACATGTTTTTATATTATTACTCTTTGTTGAGGCTTTTATGTTATTCCTACTTCATGTGGCGGTATGTGCAATGCCTATGATCACAACCCGAAAAAGGGATTAATTAACAACAACCACACGATAATTATATTAATAGACAAGTTACATTCACTACAATTCTCGAGGTACGATAACGAAAGCAAATAAAAACCAGGCATAATTAACCACATTAAAAAAAATGGTGACAACACACAAGATGACAAGGTACCAACGTTTTAGCAAGTTTGTATCACACGATCACCCAACATTCATGTGCCTTGCAGGCGAGATGGACAACGACGTCTGTCATGGCCAACAACCCTACAATAACCATATCTTACCTACATACTCGCACCTCTGTGCTGATCCATTTCGTTACGGATGCGGGTACTTCGTGGCCTCCATTTTTGACGTCTAAGTGACACATCCGGGAGAATGGTTGGGCCTTGGCCAGGTGGGATGAAGTCTTCATTGCCAATTGGATACCATTTCCTGGAATATACCTGACACTAATATGATGCACCATATGTAGGATCAATGTATTGTAAGGGGTCATGGTTTACTGATTTGCATGCTGCAATCACATGACTACATGGGTACCTAAAAGAGGTAAACTCACCACACTGACACACCCGATCAGCTAACGAAACCCACCACTTCTTTCCGCCTCTATGAGTTCTTTGATTGTAAGAATCTTGAACTTCAAATCGTGTTTTTTGTCTGTCATACGACGTAACAAAGTGTCTTGCAGCATCTTGTTGGTTATTAAGGTATGAAACCCAGAACACTTTGGCGTAACGATTACCTTTGTCCATCTCTTCCTGAGCCTCCTGCCCGTGTGCCAAAATATATTTATTTAACCGAGCGTATGTGAACCGCACCAAAGATGTGATGGGCAGGTTTCTGGCACCTTTAAGGACCTTGTTAACACACTCCGACAAGTTTGTAGTCATGTGGCCAAATCGTCTTTCTTCAACATCGTACGATATACTCCATTTTTTCTTTGGAATTCGATCAATCCATGCTGCAATTTGTGGGCTTGATTCTTTAAAATTTTCCAAACCAGCATCAAAATCCAAACGCGACGTAGTATATCCTGACGAATTACAACAATTCATTATAACATAATTATATAAGAAATAAAGTCATATGCAGTATCAAATAATTAAAAAGGGCGCAGGACCATACCTAACTTGTTTAACTGCTTCTTCAACAGGATATTTTTGAACTTATGATTGAAATTACTAGCCACATGTCTCAGGCAAAAAACATGGTAAGCTTTCGGGGGTTGCCACCCTAGATGTTCATTATTGACGGCCGTTAATATACCAGCATGTCGATCAGTAACAAGATATATCCCCTCTTTCTGAGTCACATGGATTCGTAACATCGCCAAAAACCAGGACCCGTTGTCAATATTCTCACAATTAACAACAGCAAATGCAACAGGCAGGACATAATTGTTACCGTCAACAGCTGTAGATATCAATAGTGTTCCGCGGTGTTTTCCATACAAATGTGTCCCATCGATCTGGAGCATAGGCTTACAATAATTAAATGCATCACAACACTGTTTGAAAGTCCAAAAAACCCTTTAAACACCTTGTGCGACCCATCGAGGCGACCATCGATCCTATGTTCATTCACGTCCAGTTTATAAGCAGACCCTGGAGAAAACAATAACATATAATTCAACCATCTCGGCAGGAATGCGTACGACTCATCCCAATCCCCAAAAACCCTCACAACTGCCTTCTGCTTTGCTTTCCAGGCCTTTCTGTATGATATATGAAATCCTAGACACGATGCAATCCTTTTCACGCACCATTTCTGCGGTTTGAGAAACAGCCCAATATTAGTGTTACGAAAACGGTATTTATTGAAACATAGAGAGTCTGGTTGACTTACCGATGATCAATGAACAAATGAAACTATTAAGTTGTTTGTGATCTTGTGAAAGTGTCTGATTAACATATGTATGGATGTTGTTCCATATGCCTATGATCCATTCATGACCGCCTTTTTAAGATATGCCTGCATTCTCCATGGACAACCGTCATTGTGATTTTGACAAATCATTATCAGCCTTTTCGTATCACTTTTTAGCATCTAGCAATCAGTCGAGACATGGATTGACCTCGTTGTAATCTCAACTTCTTGTATATTATTTTCTTCAGCTCAGTATATTTGCAACCCGGACTCATGCAGAAGATCTTCGTATCTCCTTCAAACACTTGACCGTTCGGTTCAAAATATCTTCTCCCATTGTAATATAGAAGGCATATTACATCGTTGTTACTCTCACTCATTATGTACTGAAATAGCAAAAAGTAACAAACAAAAATGGAAACTTCAAGGAAAACAGACGAGAATGACTTCGGGAGAGGAAGAGGGGGTGTGTATAAGTAGAACTGAGTTCGCTACCTAGGGCAACGAACTGTAACTGTCGGCAGGTAGTTCGCTTACCTAGGCAGCGAACTTGTGGTGGACTGCCACGTGGCACATAGTTCGCTACACGGGGAAGCGAACTGCGTCAGTGGCTGCCACTTGTCACCTAGTTCGCTGTCAATGTCAGCGAACTGTGTGCCAATTGACACATGGCAAAGAGTCCGCCTGGTCCCCCAGCGAACTGTGTTGGGGTCAGACACGTGGCAAACCAAGTCCGCGTTGTCTATCAGCGAACTCTTTATACGTGTCAGCATTTATTGCACTCAAGTCCGCCTGTGTCAGTAGCGAACTTGAGCACCATCAGGCTGTTGACACATCACCACACCTAGTTCGGTACTACTCCCAGCGAACTTGCCTGCGTGGCAGTTTGGGGAAAAAGTGCGTAGGCGTGACATTTTGACAAATAAGACTTGAAACAGCGACACAATGGTCATTGTTCCGTTAGATCTTAGTCATAATGATAATTATTGTCCAATCAAAGGTGTGTCTAAGATATTTTTCACCTTATATTTTCTGACGTGTAAGATCCACTTCATGGCAAATTTTAATACAAGCGACATCCCAATTTGATTAGATATTTCTTTTTTTTCGGAAAAGGATTAGATATTCTTAATTATTGATTTGAGGCATACGTGTTATTCACGGGAAAGATTGATAATTAAAATTTAACTTCTTTCTTATTAGGCCTCATCGAAACCTGTAAAATAAAATTTGATTAAAATTAGTCTCACATGTGTATATATATTATTGAGACAGAATTTACATTGTTAAATTTTTTTTACGAAGTTTTTTTTTGTTCATATTATTTTTATGAAGTTACTTCTAATCAATGGGCGATGACATCGATGAACAACAAAAATAATCAAATTCTAAATTAATTTATCATATAGTACAATCTAATCTATAGCTCAATAAATATATATGGTAACCTTCCATACCTTAATGAAAAAATAGAAATAACGAGTGAAGTATTATTTTAGATTAAACAGTTTTAAGTATTAAACCGTCTAAATTTGTTTTATACCAATTTATTTTTTCATAATATATTTCAAATTAAAACAGTTTAAAAATTATTTATTGACACTGAATTAAATATCATACAATAAAAATATATAAAATCAATTTAATGTAAATAATATTACAAAGTTAAATTAATAAAAAAAATGGGATATGATCCTTTAACATCGATGTCAATTTGAAGTTTGACATCTCATCTGAGAACAATTAGATAAAAAAATATCAATATCTTTGAATTTGTAAGCATGTGACATCATTGATCTTTTTTGATCTAACGGCTTTCAGATGAGATGTCAAACATAAAATTTGACACTAGTGTCAAACTTTAAATTTGATATCGGTGTCAAAAGATCCAACCCAAAACAATATATTAAAAAAAAATCTGAAAAAGTAAATTGGGACTTTTCTCCAAAATAAAAAACTTCCCAAACTCAACTTGGCCATAATATAGTTGATAAATTTATATTATCTAAAATTTCTACCTAAATAATGAAATTCTAATTGTTTTTTTTTTTTAATGGGAAGCTGAGGCGCCGCCATATGTGACTGAAATTTATTGTTTCGTACCGTTATAATTTCTCTCTCTTCTGAAATTTGCTTATCGTTAGGGGACACGTAGTATAAACCAATATGAGTCGCCAAGAAAGATTAAATTAAAAGACCCGCGGCGCAATGCGCGTCACAGCATTATTTTCTATTTTCTTGTCTGGAAATTAAATAATTATTTATGAGAAAAAACGTTTGTCATTTTTTCTTTTTTGATATCAGAAATATGGGTTTTGCATTTGTTTACATGACAAATGAAATTTTTTTTACACATACATCGATATTTGTGCTGTATTTTTTATTTTATTTTAAACATGGTGGACCCCACATTTATTATCTTTATAACATGAGAAGAAAATTATCCTACAATATTATACTTGTTTTTTTTTTCAGAAATATTTGTTATTTTAAAGAAGATTCCGATTTATATATTTAATTATAGAAAAAAGATTTATCATTTTATATATAATTTTGTGTCATTTTTAATGAAACTATGTCATTTTGATATGTTTTATCATTCTTTGTTATATAATTAAGAAGAAGAAAAAAAGCGAAGAAGAGAGAAGGTAAAAATACATCAAAATAACGTAATTTTATTAAAAATAATATAACTTTGTGTCCTTTAAAATGACAAATACTCTTTCCTTTAATTATTTGTTATATTCTATTTTCTTCATAAAATGAAAAAAATAATAATATTTTTTTATCAATTATATAGTAAAAAGACATCATTAATATAATATAACATAAAGCTATAAAGAAGATTATATTTATAAACTCTTATAAATTACACTGTGTACTCTATATTAAATTACACCAAATCCTTTAGAAATATACAATATAATTTATAAGAAAAATGTGTAAACGGGATCATTTGCCTAAAGTTATATAGAAATGTTATAAAAAAAAAACGGGAAACGTTTTTTCTCTTTATTTATAGCCATTTAAAGTCATCATTCATAATTTCTCTTCCTTATCTCTCTTTCGGAGTAATTTTCTTTGAATGCAAACCCTAGATAATTCATCTTTCAGAATCTCATAATAAATTTCCCTGAGGAACTCCTAGATTTTCTCACCAACCTTTCACTTTTCCAAGATAAAGATTCAGTTGACCCCAGTATCCCGATTTTACATACAGATCCTAGATCTACAAATCCCATTTCGTTTAATTTGATATCCCGGACTTAGATTCTGGAACATATCTCATAATTTCAATACATTGGTGATTCACCTATCTTGACTTGCGTATGGGTAAGATTCTGCGAGAAACCTCGAGGCCGTCCTCTAATTCTTGGTCCACATCACCTTCTTCTGCTCCTGCAACGACGTCGTCGACCTCGATCACCGATACCGTTAGGGGTTCGCACCGATTCAAGATCACGGGGTATTCTTTGTCGAAAGGGATTGGGATTGGGAAATACATAGCATCGGACATTTTCTCGGTCGGAGGGTACGATTGGGCGATCTATTTTTACCCGGACGGGAAGAGCGTGGAGGACAATGCTACGCATGTATCACTCTTCATCGCGCTTGCTAGCGAAGGCACCGACGTTAGGGCTCTTTTCGAGCTGACCCTTTTAGATCAGAGTGGGAAGGAGAGGCATAAGGTGCATAGTCATTTCGAGAGGACCCTCGAGAGTGGACCGTACACGTTGAAATACCGTGGTAGCATGTGGTGCGTGAGTTGGATTTTACGTGACTTTTATATATATATAATTTAAAATTTATTTCTTGATTTACTGGTGTATGTTCTGATCCTGCTATGTTATTCAATATTGTGTTTGTCTGAGAAAATTTGAAGAGCCGGTGATGGGATTTTTTTTTAAATGTGGGATTTTGTTATTTTTCCTTGGGGAGGGTTCATGTTATTTGAGAAGTATCTTTTCAGAGATTTATTTTTATGTCATGCCAACATGTGTCATTGAACTGAAGCTTAGTTGTTAATCCTTCTGATTATTTGTGGGTGGGGTTGGTTGTTAAAACATGTTTCATTTTATTTCTCCAAAAAAAGAAAAAGCTAAAGAAAAGAAGAATTTTATTTCTGATATAGATTTTTTTTTTGAAGTGAATTGTCTCCCCCCTTGAAATGTAATTTTGAATATATGAGAGACGTTGATGTATGATTATGGGTTGGCCAAATACTCCCTGATACGAATGTGGAACTTTTTTGTGACAAGGGAAGATGAACAGTTTGGCAAAGGCTGATTGTTTTTAATTGGGTGTTTCAGGGGTTACAAGCGGTTTTTTAAGAGAACAGCACTAGAGACATCAGACTACCTTAAAGATGATTGCCTTAGTGTTCATTGTAGTGTCGGTGTTGTAAAGTCACACACGGAGGGCCCTAAAATTTATTCAATCGCGATACTGCCTTCTAACATTGGTCAGCAATTTGGGAAGCTCCTGGAAAGTGGAAAAGGAAGTGATGTGAGTTTTGAAGTAAATGGAGAAATTTTTGCTGCTCATAAGTTGGTACTAGCTGCTCGCTCACCTGTTTTCAGAGCTCAACTTTTTGGTCCTATGAAAGATCAGAATACCCGGTGTATAAATGTTGAAGACATGGAAGCTCCAGTTTTCAAGGTTTGAATTAATGTTCATTGTGCTTACTCTCTTTGATTTGTGTTTGTGATGTGGTTGCAAAATATGTTTTGGTTATCATTTCTGTCCATGCCGTGATTTACACATTGTACTTTATAATTATTGGAGTTTTTTCCTTGGTTTTTCCCTTACCATAGTTAAGCATATCATTGTAACTGACTTAATGCCCAATTGTGCCTATTTCTTTCAGTAGGTGGGTCTTGAAATTTGTTCGCAAAACATATGGTTTTAGTGATTGTTCTGATCTACAAATCTCATGTAGTATTTCTCTGTTGATAAATCTAAAAGCATTTTATTATAACAGGTTTTTCTTTATAGAAATGGACACGTATATGTTTTGAAATTCTATTGTACCTTTGCCCATTGGGATTATTATTGACTGTTGGATAGTGCTGTACAAATCACGTAGGTTGAAGTAGAATCCAATAATAAAAATGCTAAGGGTACCATGAAACCTCTATTATATTTTGATGCAGAAACCTATTTGGTCTATTTTTTGCCAACATTTTTGCCCTCTTCCCTCATTTATGCAACCAAAAAAGAATTGGTACAGAGATTAGTATTTTTTTAGATAGTAATCCACTGCGACAGATTTGACACAGATCATGTGAACCTTTTTGAAAGGCACCCCCCCCCCCCCCCCCCAACCAAAAAAAAATCTGATTAGATGAACAAGTTCTGATAATTGACTGTAGTTACGAGTTCCTTTCTGATTTTGGTTTCTCTTTGGCAAGTTGTTCCATCTGGTTGCATATATAATCAGTACTGTTACACAATTGGTACTGTATCATATCGTAACATGGTGGTTTGTATTTGGAATGATTGATTCACATGGCTATTTGGTTATGGAAAGCAGTTCTTTGGTGCTTTATATAATTTATGCTTTGAATTGGAAAGTGATATTTGTAAAGCTATTTTATTGAGTTCCACTTCTCTAAGTGCTAAATGTTGTCAACTTGATTTTGATCTTTGAGGTTTATGAACATGATAGGATATCTTGCATCATATAATATGTGATTTATTTATTTTTCCTAAATCTACAGAAAAAAATTGATAAGAAATAACTGTAGAGGGGGATGGCTCTTCTTTGTTGATTTTTTTCTTTTTCTTTCCTATGTATAGTTGCCTTAAGAAGGATATGTCTTAGTTGTGTTATCCGCCCCCTATATATTAAATTACAGTACTATCATAAGAATGGTTTAATCTCTTATTTTACTTGCGCTTTATTTCAACCTCACTTTTTTTAAATTTTAAATTCAAATTCTTTTTGAATTAATTTTACATATTTTAGTTATAATCTTAAGCATTTTTCTCTTTAATCTGTATTTTTTATATTTTAGTTTAATTAATTATGCATACTTTATAATTCAACAAAGAAAAAAATTAAATATCTTTTCTTTTAATTTACACTTTTTAGATTTTACCTGAATTTAAAAATACCTGTGTAATGTACTGGATACTTACTAGTTTATTAATACATATTGAAATATATTGAATTCTTTGAAGCACATTAGGAGTGAAACTAGTATGTATATATATATATATATATTCTCAGAAGTCTTACACTCCATCTCAGCTATTGATTTCTGTCCATCTAATGGTTGTAGTTTATTGAGTTAAAAAAAAAAACCACTCTCTGTTTAACCTGACTAGTGAGTGTGGGGTGGAGGCAATCCTTGTACGCAGTCTTACCCTTGTATAATTGCAAAGAGGCTATTTCCTGTATTTGAACTCATGACCTTTCAGTCATGAAAGAATAGCTTTATCATTGCTCTTGGTTGTAGTTTATTGAGTTATATCAATTAATTAATTATTAATTCCAAATAAAATACAACTGTTAGATGAACGGAAATAGCTAGGATGGGGAGTAAGACTTCATAGTCTTACACCGGAGTCGAAAGATCACTCTTCTTATATACATACATATTGAGATATTATCATTCTACATCAGTGTAAGAATAAGAAGTCTTACACTCAATCTTAGCTATTGATCTACGTGCATCGGATAGATGCTAGTGGGACCAACGATTAATCACCGGTGTAAGTTTATATATGTGTGAGTTTGTTTTTTATTTCTCAAGCAGCCATTGATTCCATGCAGTTTACATACAATTACTACATCCAGTGCTTGTGTTTAATGAGATAGCAATATGTATGTGGAATGGGCAACTTGTCTGCTGTGCCTTACCTTATTTTTCTTTTTTGCAGGCGTTGCTTCATGTTATTTATTGGGACTCACTACCTGACATGCAAGAGCTTACTGGGTTGAACTCAACATGGGCAACTACCTTGATGGCTCAGCATCTGCTAGCAGCAGCTGATCGGTATGGCTTAGAGAGGCTTAGGCTGATGTGTGAAGCAAGTCTCTGTGAAGATGTTGCTATAAACACTGTGGCTACGACTTTAGCATTGGCAGAGCAGCACCATTGTTTCCAGCTGAAAGCAGTCTGTCTGAAATTTATTGCAAGGCCTGAAAATCTCAGAGGTGTGTTTCTTTCTTTGAACTTTTTATTTTGTCATGCACACACAGCAAAAGTGCAATATTAGGGTGTAATTGAGACATTAAAAGGTCTGAAAGTCAGTATGTAACCATCATTGGAAGTTAAATTTGTTACTGACATTATGCTAGTCACAAACTCACTATTATGCTTCCAGTTTGAACTTGAAGAAAAATAGGCTAAGCTATGAAGGATTCATCTGTTGTTGCTTTTAATGATATTTTTTTTAACAAAAAAATTACAAGTAATTTATTAATGCAAGATAGTTTAGTGACCTTAGGAATTCTTTATATAGTCTTGATTCTTAAACTTGTCTGATTAGGATCATTAATGAGATGGCTTTTACCCAAATCTTTTATGAGACAAGATATTGTTACTACCAATTAGTGTTACTACCAAATTGTTTCATCGTTAGATCGATTATGTTGATCCAACAGTTCTAATTTTACTTTCTAAAAACCTTCTTTATTCTCCCTATATTTAATACTTTAAAATTATTTTCACCTTTGTATGGTTATGATTCCTCATATTTAATGCTTTCACATTAAATATGAGAATCATAATCATACGAAGGTAAAAATTAATATAACCGTTGGATCAACACAATCGATCTAACGGTGAAACAAATTGGTAGTAACACTAATTGGTAGTAACAATATCCTATCTCATCTTTTATTTGGAAAATTTATTTACATCAACTACAAAAAAAGTGGTGGTTCATTTTATTCTTCATCCAGAACTATAATTATCAACTGAAGTATTTTCTTCCCTTTTGTTTCTTCAGCTGTGATGCAGACTGATGGTTTTGAGTACTTGAAAGAAAGTTGCCCATCTGTTCTGACTGAGCTATTGGAGTACGTGGCTAGATTTACTGAGCATTCGGACTTCATGTACAAGCATAGGAATGAAGCAATACTTGATGGCAGCGACATAAATGGAAGGCGTGTGAAGCAAAGGCTATAGTGTGCACACTGAATAGCTCTCTGTACAACCCTCTTTCCTCCCTCTTCACTCGCCTTTAAAAATTACAGTCAGCGCCATAGATAGAGGGGGACGATAAGCATTTATAGGCTTAGAGGCAATTCTAAATTTTCTTAGCTTATTTCATTCATGTCTAGGAGATGTAAATGTAGTTTGTTTCGGTGCTGTTGCAGGTCTGTCTCACCTAGGTTTCTGTAATATACTTTTTCTCTTTACTCGGAAAACATTTGTCTGAAATGAAAGTATTGATCAAAGCACTGTTTGTCTGCTCTTACATTTGGATTTGTGTTTTGGTATTCTACATGTTGCCTTAAGAGCTGATCAATCAAAAAATGCTGTTTTGGTGTGACAGAGATGGCATCATTTTTGCCGTTGATATGAACATTTTTTTATTAAAATGGGGAGTTGGAAGTTTGATAAAATTAACTTTTTAAGGGATGACATTTATAAATGATATACACGAGTGGCGAACTCAACATTCTGGGATTAATTTTATCAATTTTATGATACAAAATTACACCGAATAAGTTTTACTAATTGTAAGTTTCAATGATAATTACGTGCTTGGGGCCATCTGAATTGATATACAAGTTTTGCGGATATCTAAAAGATATGTTAATTAGGTAGTAGGCTCATTTGATTAGTCTAGTATTCATACTTGGTCATCTCCAATATGCCACATATTGGTTGCAGGCAAGTGGGAACGGAGTAAAAGTGGCAAGTATGTTAAGGTGTGTTTGTCTTCGAATTCTGTGTTTTCCTTCATGGGCAAAGTGGCAAGTCAACCGCTTCGATTTCGTTGTTGTAGTTGTTCTTCTCGTACTTCAAGGATTTGGTTGGTAGAGAAGTAACGGATGAGCTCAAGAACGATTTGGCCATCAGAGGCACATTGCAATTCGTCTATCAGTACCTCAACATCAAGCTCGAAATCACTCGCGTTGTCGACCAGTACAAGTACCCTCACATGGTAACCATCTCAATTTCTGTCTAGGATTTTTTACATTTTACTTTTTTCCTAAAGCAAAACGATCTATTTCTATTTCACGCTTAATACTTCCAAGGCTATGGATTTTGGTTTTGGGTATTGCTCGGTTTAGCAAGCGTTTAAGCACTTAGAATATACACATATTGGATGAATAATTGGATTATGCTTCAAGCAGGATTCAAGTTGTTTCTTGGTGTACCAGAATTTGGTTAATTGTGAATGCAGCTGCAGATCATGATTACACTCTTCACGTGATTTGAAAAGTTAAAAAAATGTAGTCTTTGGCTAAAGAAATTTAAACGTAAAAGTGCAGAGAAAGGGGATTTTTTTTTTTTTTTTTTTTTTCATATAGAGAGGATTTTATAATGCTTCTTTGTTAATAACTACTAAGAGGAGCATAAGTAGAACCATGCGCCCACTGGGGCATGCTGATTTCGGTTCATGCTTGTGCTGGATTTTTGCTTAAATCTAAACATCTATTAGTTACTACTAGGTATACTCCTCACTTATGTTAAATTTTCACATGAACTTGTTAGTATCATTCTTCAGATCATAACACTGCATTCTTGTTGAACTAATGATTGTAGGAATCCATCTACTAGAAAAAAATGATTGTAGGATTCAACTCTGCGGTTCTCTTTTCCTGTCCCCTTCTTCGTCCATCCAATTAAAAATGCCAACTCAGCAAAATAAGTTGACAATTAGATTACTGAGGGTTGCGTTAAAAAGAAGAATATAGTGAGGTTGATTTGTTATGTTGTTACTCTAGAGAAGGTGTGATAAATACAAAAAGATTTGCTGCTATAGTGCGGGATACCACTTTAAGATATCATTACTGTTAAGAACCTTGAGGTCACCACCCAAAAAGCTAGCTCCTGGATATGGCAGCAAATGCGAACCGCTTCGCCCGAGAACAGAAACGAACGATTGTGGCTGGCTTCAAACAGCAGCACACGAACAAAGGCAACACAATCAAGGGACACGAACTGTGAACTGGATCCAAATGAAGTCGGTTGAACGAGGTGAAGGCTGATCTGGAAAGAGAACAGCTGGGCGACCAAGTCTATCCTTGATCGACGGCGAACGGCCTCCGGAAAACACCGCACGCGCCGGAGGAAGGTGGCGCGTGTTGGCCACGCGCAGAGAAGAAAGTGGCGCGTCAGAGAGCGTGGGGCCACCTATGACGGTGGGTCCTTCGGCTTTGCGTAGATCGGCTCCTTCTGAGTCCGTTGATGTATGCTTTGACAAAAACGGTCGCCGGAGAAATTTTCCGGTGACAGAGGACGGTGGCTGACGGTGGCCGGAATACTGTCGGTGTGACAGCTTTTGAAAAGAAAAATTTTACTCGATAAACAGTAGGTCCACCGGACAGACGTAGATTAAAATTCCTCTCGTTAGGCTCTGGATACCATGTTAAATATCAGGACCCGAGAGGTTGTGAGTAATCCATGTGTCTTGACTACACAGCAGAGAGTCTATTATATAACTGAAAAGAAAGGAAGTACAAAGAGATATACATGATGTGAGACTAGTAAACTACTATTCTAAACTAATATTCACAACAATTACAAAAGGATTTTGGGACATAAGTTTAGGTACGATGGAAAGTAATAGTAGAATTGATGAATATTTTATACAATTTCTCAACTATATTGGTAAGCGGGTTGATGAAAAATCTTTGCTTCGATAACTTGGGGCCAATGGCAAAAGCCTTCGCATTCTATGCTATAAAGGGAATTAATCTCATCAAAATGAGTGAGAACACCCATGGAAAATGAAAAAAAAAAAAACTGATGAATATTTATACCAATTTCTAAAATCATCATCTGTTGCGTGTATACAGATAAGAATCCTTTTGTGTTCTTTTCCTGCCAATTTTGTTATATCTGATTATGTCGTAATTAGTTTAATGTTAATTATATTTTAATTATTTAAGGACGAGCCTTGGAGTAATAATAAAGTTGCTCCTTGTGATTGTCATGGGTTTGAGTTTGAGAAATAGTCTCTTTACAAAAGAAGGGAAGGCGGGTACAATCGATCTTTACTCCTATTCTCGTAATTCGAGGAGCTTTGTGCATCAGAGTTTGCCTTTTATTATATTTTAATTATTCATGATATAGCATTATAGCCAATATTACTCTCTTGTGCATCGCTCCTGATGAATGATGGCCATGTAACTATGCTGGGTGTAAACATTTCTATATTTGTTGGCAGCTTTCTGTAAGGAATTGCCTCATTAGAGGGACGGTGGTGAGATATGTGCAATTGCCTCGTGATGCAACCAGGAGAGAAATCTCGGGGTGGCTAATTTGGCTGGTCAAATTATTGTAATGTATCTGTATTTGACAATTTGGTTAGAAACTTTTACCAATTATGAGGCTATCTATATTGCCTTCTCCTTTTGTTTCTTTTCGAAGCATTGTCCAATTTTGCCTTCAAAAAGTGATATAAATATAGCTGCATTGCGTTTTCTTACCCCTTCTTTTGTTTATTACATGTTTTTTTTCTTCAAAGAAAATGACAGTTTAAGGATAGCAACTAAGCATGTATAAACAATGCACACATATCTGCAAAGCTTAGTTCATCAGTGTTCAAACCATCCACATTAGTATTTAATGGTTTCCGAATTCTTTGAGACCGAACTCAGAAGGGTTGATTGATTGACTGATTTTGTCTTTCAAGATTGCTCTCTCTATGCAATCGCCTCACATTTGTCAAAAACCTCTCGTTATTTAATTAATGGCTTGTGCATATCCAGCCCCTTGTCTTTATTTAGGGGATCACAAGTTTTGGAGAGTGTGTTATTTGAAAGTCAGGACATGATATAAGCTTTAGGTTTAGGGAGTGTTCATAAATGAAATTTTAGATGACTTACGGAATTGAACTAAAAACAGTTGAAAAGCTTTAGCGAGAGTTTATAAATGGAATTTCAAACTGAACCAAAAATATTTCAATTGATGCTGGATGATCTTACTAATTAAGCCAACATCATTGGCTATCAGTCCCTTGTTTTTAGTGAATAGGGGTGATGCTTGACAAGTTTTGTGGTCTGAGAGATAGGTCCCGTAGCGTTAATATGCTTTATTTACATTTGGAATTTAGGATCATTCTGATAGTAAAATTCCAAGTGAAAAATTCTTGAATCAGATTTGTTAGTGAAATTGTATTAAAAACTAATTCATAATCTTTTTATCCCCGTACCAACTTACCTTAAGTAGGAAAAAGTTTGAATAAAAGTACTTCAAAAATGTTTTAAGTGAAATAATCACATAGAAACTTTATCTAAGAGCTTCTGTTAATTCAATTATAAACGACAAAACCAGCAATTGCATTTAAGCTACCTAACGTTCTAATCAATTGGCAGATAAAAGACAATAGCATCAATGAAAAGGTTGAGTTCGCTTTTTTATGTGTGATCTTTTATTGGTATTAGTAGGTCATTTGCAAGCATTATTAAAAATGTTGAATAACTTGTTTACCAAAAAAAAAAAAATGTTGAATAACTTAAAAATTTGCATTTATCTCTAAAATGATTATGATAATTTAAGTTTAAAGTGCTTTGGTAATTGTGTTAATAAATATAACTGTAATAATATATTATAACTATTTCCAATTCATGATTAAGAATTATTTAGAATTGGTTTTACAACTGGGCCGATCATGTGATCTTCCTCTACACAAATAGCTTGGAACCACCTTGGGTCAGAACATCTTGCAGTTGGAGTAGCTTTAACCCATGGGTCTTCAATGGAACAAGATGGGGGGGGGGGTGTACCTGCAAGACACTCCAACGCTCAAGTCAGATATAGTTCAAGCATGTTATAATTATGTAGAAGAAGATGTGTACCTTGAGTTAACACATATGTATTTATAGTGGAGAGATGACCAGCTTGGGAGATGCCTTTCTTCATAGTGAAGGCAGAGATTCTCCTTATTGGTTCTTGTGGGAGGCTTGGAGATAATGTTTGCAGAAGTATGTAGAAGGGGTAGCTTGCTGTCATATGGCTTTTAATATTGAGGAGCTTTGCTGAGATAGGCTTTCTTGGTAGAGTGGTGGCAAGCTGGTGCTGTCTTCTGTTTATTTGTTCAATGGCGCGGTGAATCTTTATTAGTTCCTGTGATTGCTTCCTTATCTCTGAAGTTATGCTGAAGGGCGGTTTGAGCGCGATGGTAACATCGCGCCCTCTAATGCGTGATTGATGACATCACGCCTCATTCTGGGCCTGGTGGGTTCGGGCCTTGTTATATGAATTTTGGCCTTTGAT